AAGCCTGGCAGTGGATTTTTTTTCAGCAATGTACTACGTTTCTTTTGTTAAACAGTGCTTTATACATCTGATGAAAAATTTCTTTTAGGACAGTTATGAATTTTAGCAAACTTTTATTTTTCCTTCTGAGTAAAGTTTTTTTTCCTTCTGTCCAGAAATGATCATCTGTAGTTGTGTTTATTGTATACTTCAAATAGAATCGCAGTGCAAATATTTTTGCTTTGCTTAAAATTTCTAAATAATGCACGAAACCAGAGGAGGAAACGAGATTTTATCTATGCTCCCAGGCTTCAGGTTTATGTACGTTTTAGGGAAATGGGGCCTCAACAAAATTAATAAACTTTACAATACAAGGAGAGGCAGGTTTTTTTAGGTATCCCGGAGGAACCCAGGCAAGAGCCTGTGTACTTTTTACTGCAACCAAAGTATAAGTAATTCAACTCATATATTGAGATCTTTCTGGCCTGGCTTCTCATCAGTAGGTGTAACTCTGGAATTTGGGTACAGTATTTCAGTGAGCATTTGTAAAGAGGAAAAGTGTTTGCTTTAGAAGGCAGATGATACTGTTTTGTATAAATTTTATTCAGAGGTTTAATTTAAAAAAGAAATAGGATAGAACCATATGTTTGGAAGAATGATTTCAGCATCTAGGTATTTTATTTGAAGGATGTGATGTTCTACAACTTATTGAAAAACTTCAAAGATACAAACACAACCAAGATTTCTGTCATAGACACATTTGCCTTCAGAATACTTCTTTATTTATTTATTCTATATGTGATTTTTGACAGTGTTTGTGTGGTTGGAGCACCAGTTCTGACTCAGGAGTTACCAAACTGCAAATTATTAGTCATTGAAAGGTGTGTTGGTAGGGAAGTACAACTAATGCTTACCTTATTCTTTTTTTTTTAATGTTTTCCTAGGCATCTGCATGAGGTATAATATATGTATTAGAGACTGAATGTTGGGCAAGATGGAATTGGTCTGGCTCAGTATGGTTAGTGTTCTGAGTACAGAAGTATAAAGGGAGAGGCCTCCTGATCCCACGCACTGTGCCTTGCAAAGTGGCTGAAAAATGTGATATAATTGGTTTTGTGTGTGTTGCTTATGTTTTAGGGATTAAATAAATTGTTGAAGTTATTTAGAAAGGTACTCTTATGTTGTGCAGGATCGTTGTTGTTGTGTTTGACCAAAGAACCCACAGATCCAAGTATTGTTTTCCTCTGAAATGATAGTGTTTACTACTTTGTCTGTCTGTCTTTGTGGTATTGCTTGTAAGAAAAAAATATTCAATAACTTCTAGAAAAATAAAGGTGAGAAATGAAGACATGTAATTAAAAAAAACCAAACAAGGAAAAAAGCCAGTTGAAAAAATTTAAAACTACTATTTTACTAACTAGTCTTAATAATAGTTTGTAGTAATTAATAGTTATTAATAATACTAATTATTATGACACAATATAAGATTTTGCAATCTTGCACTGGTTAAAATTACTATGCTAATTAGTAAGCCTTGCTTGTGCTCAGAAAACAATGCCTCTAATTTGTACAGCTTCATGGAAGAGAGCTGTGTCACGTAGTCCTGTTGTCCTTTGTGTTTGACATAGCATTAACAGGTTTTGAAGAATGCTGATTTTAGGAACCAGCACTGTCTTTTAAAGTTGTTTTTGTAAAGCTTGAAACATTATCTGATCCTGTCTTGGCATTCACTAAGTTGAGTAAGATTTTGAAGCAAGGATGAGGTGGAGGGGTAGGACCTGAACTAAACATTAATATTGTTATGTTAGAGTTATTTTTGATCAGAGATGGAAGATAACTTACGGAAGAAATGTTCTTTATCTTCTGTGTACTGTGCTAACCTGTCCTAAGACCTTAAACACAAATGTCTGTTTTTCCTTGCCTATCACAGTCCCTTTCGAGTATTAAGACAGCATCTGCCAGTGACATGTCAGCTGTACCTGAAGGTTGAGAGTGTGCCAGCTGTTAGACAGGGTAGGCAAATATTCAATGCACATAAACCTTTTTTCAACTGTGAATGTGTACCTCATGCTAGAAGAGAGAGCATTCATGGATTTTAAGTGATAATAGTGTAAGTAATTTCACTTCAGTAGCTTTCATACTTTTGTCTACAAAACACTGATGCATCAGAGGAATTTTGTCAAAGTGTCTTTGTTGCTCCTGTTCCCAGAGTGGTGAAAGGCAATAGTCACTTGCTAATGCTCTGACAGAGATAGTAGCCTTTTTTGTGGACAGTCAGCATCACTGTAGCATCACTGTGCTGATAACATTCTCAGTATGCTGTTAGCTTTTAATTGCCCTTGTTTGAGACAGAATTTCACTAAAATTCGAGGCAATTTTTTTTAGTTGTATCTTACCATAAGTTTTATTTTCTAAGGGAATTAATGGATGAGTTGTTATTACAGAAGACAGAAAGTATACAATGAAACTGGGTTTCAGGCTGAAATTTAGTAAGAAACTATCCAGTGTTTGTTGATGGAGGAGATACCCTGACTAACAATGGGGAAGGCATTGCAAGCAAATGGCAGTTTTTATGTAGAACTAGCTCTTCAACTGCCAAGCAGGAATGTAGCCATGGCAGAAAACTTGTAATTGTATTCATGGATAAATTTGCAAAATATTCTTATTGAGAATTAAAATAAAGGCTGTAATCAGTGTCAGTTGATATGTGTCAGGGATTTCATCAGCGTCCATCTTACTTGTAGTTTCAGCCAAAGTATTTAAATTAGCATAAAAGGCACAGTTTGCTGTTATCTTAAAACATTAAGCATGCATTAGTTTACTTCTTTGTTTGTAGAAGACATAACTGATTTCCATGACACTTCTCTCTGATGACACTGTGAGGAAAGAAGGATCAATTGTTGTCAAAAATACAGACAACTGTCTGTTTTGTAGAATAATTGAAAAGGTTTTGGTTCCACTGGATTGCCCAGCTCTCTGCTGTAGGATGTGCTCACTGAAATGCAGCATTAGTCATGAGTGAGTGGTGTGCTTTTGTGAGGCTCCATGTGTGAGCTCTGAGCCTGGCGGGAACTTAAGGCTGTGGAGAGCACTGTGCAGACACACTTTGACTGGAGCTGATCCAGCTCCAGTAGAACTGGCAATGAACTAAATCAGTTGAGTCCTGAAAGTAAACTGCATCTATGTGGTCTGTTTTGCGTGTCTCTGGACTGTGCTTATCAGCTGTTTTCAGTGTGGGGAGTGCATTTTAGCCAACTCAGGCTCTGTGTCTCATGAAAGCAGTTCTGATGCTCCAGAGTTGATGCTGGCTTTGGTAGCTGTACAGCTGCTGTGTGCACAGACTAGGATTTCAGAAGACTGCCTTGGCCTGTGATGGCTCTGCCAGGCATTCAGTTCAGGTGTCTTATCTGAACATCAAGAATTTCTGTGGTTGTGATTTGTTAGATTTACTAGTCATAAGCATGATTTGGAACAATAGCAGACTGAAAGAAAAATAGTGGTTGGTTGATCAGCTAGTCTGTCTTCGTGCTAGATGTTAGCATGGTCGCTACCTATAATTTTTCATATTTCTTTTGACTGTGCTTTTTAAAATCAAAGTAATGTTCTCGTTGAGTTTAGAGAGAAGAGGCAGTGCTCTTTTACTTTAGCTGAGAAGTACAGAATTGTAACTAGCTTCCATTTAGGATTTCACTATACTGTTTCGCTATTTTCCTTGCATCAGGCAGTACAACTGATGTGTTATCATTTCAGTTGCATATATTTCAGTGTTTAATTTTTGCTCAGAAATACTTTGAGAGCACATAACCGTAAAGTTTGCTTTTCTGCATTTTTGTTCGCAATTAAGAAACTAATTACTGAAACCTACTTGAGTTTGTAGACACAGGAACTCATTCATAAGAAAAACCGTTAACTTTGAGATGAATAATTCCTTGTAATTTTTGGAGAGTAGTTGTTTTGCTTTGTCTTTCTCTTCTTTGCAATCTTGCAAATGCTAATATAGATAATGAGGTTTTCCTGACAGGTTAGTTTTTATGGGAAATCTTTAGCTCCTTTCAAAAAATTAAGTAGTCTGAGACATTCCCTGTAGGATGGTACTCACTGCTGAGGCACATTTTATGCTTTGTAGATTAAGATGTGAACATCAGATGAAACAGGGATGGGAAACAAAGTTTGTGTACTATTCTATGCCCGTTCACCTTTTGTTTGGTTACTAACGGAAAATCCTTGTGCATTCTCTTATGCTCTCCAGCCTTCATCAGTGTTTAGATAATCTTCTATTCAGCTGCAGTGTAAGCCTCAGTTTCCTTTAACATTTTTATTTATTATCCTTGGTGTAACTAAGCTTTTCTGGGGGAGAAATAGGCAGGGAGTCTTTTTTTTTTTTCCTGACATGAAATCTATTTCTTCTCCACCTACTCTCTCTATTTCTTTACTCTTCAGCAGCTTCTATAAGATTAGCTTTGGTTTAGCAGTCCTTATAGCTGAAAAGAAACAGTGAAATATATGATCCAAAGCAGAGATGAGAATGGAGAGATAAAAGTTTTGTGATTATTAATGAATTGTGAAATCCTCCTTGTTGAGTTGTAATACATAGAAAGGACATGCAAGACGTAGCAATTTAGTGTCTGAGAAAGTGATAAATTCAGTTGTTTCTGACTCTGTAGTGAACTAATGCTTTAGGTATTCATATCCTATTAAACTTTATGGTTTCAAATTGAAAAAAAAAATCTGTTGGTAGCTGAACTACTTGTGTCATATTCTGGGTGCATCTTTATTACGTGTGAAAACAACGCCAAAATATGTTTGCTCGTTAATTGAAACTCATGGCCACAAGTGAACATTCAAAAATTAAAAAGAATTAGGTATAATAGTGTTAATTTGTGAATTTCATTAAATATAGGGATTTGTCCTATATTTAGCTGTATAGACAGAGCTAATATTTCAACATATTTTTTGATGATTTTGTTAAGGTTTTTTTTGTTTAAATTTGTGTTCTGATTTGCTTATACTTTATTCATCAGAGAAAGCAACCAGTGAGATGAACACTGCAGAAGACTGGGGCCTCATCTTAGACATCTGTGATAAAGTTGGACAGTCACGCACAGGGTAAGTGACTTAAGAATTTCCTCCCCAAACTTTCCTCATATTCAGGTGAGGAATGAAAATTTTGTTATGTTTTGTAGACTTTTGCAACAGCTCAATTTCACTTAAATTTATTACCAGTAAAAGGAAAATATATGGGGTTTCTGCTGAAATATTTTGCAATTCTTCCTTTGGAGATACTAGCTGATCTGTTAAAATTAGGACTTGTGAACAGCAGCTTTTCACTGATGTAACAGAATAAACAAAGTGATGTGTTTTAACAGTATCACTGTAAACCCAGGAGACTTCATGAGGGATTTTTCTTACAGAATTGTAATCTAGGTTGGAAGTGACCTCCAGAGGTCATCTAGTCCAACCCCCCAGCTTCAAACAGGTCTAATTAGATCAGGTTGCTCAGGACCGTGTCAAGTCTTGAATACCTCCAAGGTCAGAGGTTTCACAACTTCTATGGGCAACATATTTTAGTATTTAACTACTACTACTACTTACTAAGTAAATAAAAAAATTGTGCAATCTGATTACACTTTTTCCTGTTCCAACTTGTCTGTTGCATCTTGTCCTATGACTGTGCAGCTCTAAGAATGAGTCTGGCTGCACCTTCTATATATTTTTTGATTAATTAGTTGTAGAAAGCAGTAAGGTCCACTTTTTGTCCGCCTTTCTCAAAAACAGCTCTCCCATCTCTCCTTGTGTGTGACCCTCTCTGACCATCCTGGCAGCCATCCATTGGACTCACAGTCGTGCATCAATAGCCTTCCTGCACTGGGGAGTCTCAAACCAGACAAAGTGCTCCAGATGCAGAATAGAGGAGAAGGATCTCTTTCCTGGCCCTGTTGGCTGTGCTGACCACTAGTTTGACCGAGGATGTGGTCGGTTTTTCTGCTGCTAGGCTGCACTTGCTGACTGCTGTCACCCAATATGACCTGCAGATCCTTTCCTACTTTTCAGGTGGTCAACTCCTTACCTTTGCTGGAGCAGACCATCCAAAATGCAACATCTTACCCTCGTTCTTGTTCAACTTAATGAAGTTCCAGTCTGTCCATTTCTCCAGCCTGTCCAGGTCCCTCTGCCCTGTCCTCCAGTATATTGAATGTTCTCCTTCCTTTTGCTGTGGCCAGTAAGTTGCTGAGAGCAGTGTTGGTCCCAGCAGGAATCCCTGAAGGATTCCGCTAGCTAATGCCTGCTAGCTGGAATTTGCACCATAGGTGACAATTCTTTGAGCTCAGGAGGCCAGTTTTCCACCCACCTTATCATCCTTTTATACACCCCATATTTCACCAGTTGTGTGATAAGGAGACTATAAGGCCTTGAACTGTAGGTCAAAACTTTGCTAAAACCAGGGTATAAAACATCTGCTGACCTTCCATTGTCCTCACCACCAGACCACCAGTGTCTTTGTCACAGGAAAAAATGATGTTTTGTGTTTCTTCGCCTTGTTTTCAGAAGCTATTCCCTGACATCAGGGCTTTGATAAATTTACATTTTGAAAATGTGATATTAAATTAAAGACATCTTAATATGGGCCACTAATGTTTGCATTATTCATTCTTTACTGAGCTGTTTCATAGAATTTATATATGAACTTGCTTTTTGGACAAGGAAAATTAAAGTGTTATTTGAGCTAGCAACTAAAAAATGCAGTTTAAAGATATGATTTCAGTGTACTATAGTGGGTTTGGTCACTGTAGTATTAGGCTTTGGAAAGGTTTTGAATACATCTTCTCAGAGCATTGCCTGTAACAATTCAGGTAAGGAACAGACTGAAAAAAAAATGTTTTGTCATTGCTACTGTTTAGTGAAAGGCTTCTCTGAGAACAACCTGGATTGCTGTGTAAAACTGTGAGAAGCAGTATGAGATGCCAGACAGCAAATTCTCACCTGAGACTTTTGTTCCAAAGAATAGGTTTGCAACTAAGCTTATTCCTTGGGATTAGAGGTGGGTGGTCTTATAATTAGCGTGGCATATTGATTGAGACTTCTGTGCTGTTGTGTATAACTGTAGTTAACAGCTGGCAAGTTGTTAATAATGTTTCAGGTTAGTCTGTGTATGTAAAACTGCATTTCTGTTCCTTGTGCATGTTGACGTTGAGCCTGTAACAGTAACTATATTATTGAAAGCTTCAGTATTCTATTTAATCATGGAAAGCATTTCCACAGGTGAGATTTAGTCTCACAGCAGCACAGCCTGAACAGTGCTCAAATGTGTGTAGCTGCAAGAGACAACAGTACTGACAAAGCTAGAGATCTTCTGGTAAATCCCTGCAGTTAAATTCCTGTTACAGTTTGTGGGGTTTGTTTGTGTTGATTTTGGTTTTTTTCCTTTGTGTTTATTTTTTATTTGTTTTGTTTTTTATATAAAACTGTTTTTAAAATAAAAATGGAACTTAATCTTTGTAATATTCACCTTGCTTGGAACAGGCTGCCCCCAGACTTGTTGCTTTAATTCAGATTCTGTTAAAACTTGCTGATAGTTGGTTTTCTTTGTTTTGATGGATTATGTCATGCCATAGCAAGTAAAGCAAGACAGTGTTCCCTATTAAGAAGTTTAAATGACATATTGCTTAGCTGTTTGAAATTCTCCTGCACTTCAAGTTCCTCTGACAAGGATACTAGTCTTCTTAACTGGGATTGGCTTTAATCTTTTAACCAGTTCTCCTCCAGTACAAGCTGTCTGTTACTGTTTCTCTCAGAAGTTTAGATTACAAAATCTCTGCTTTATGGGTTTTCCTTGTACCAGTCTGTAAACTCCGTTGCATGTCTGCAGCCTTATAGATGTGGATCATCTTACACATGAAGTCACAGTAGACTGGAAGGACTGTTGTTCATTAAGTAGCATATTTGTCCCATAGTGCTGTATGGTACATTGTCTAATTTAGGACTGCGGACTTGTTTGTATCCAGATGAATTGTTGGAAACCTGTCACGCTGCAAACGTGCTATATTTTCTCTAAAGATAAATTTGTTGCAGTTCAGTAACAGAAATGCTACTGTTAATTTTCATGTTGTAATACTTTCCTTATGCAGAATTGCAAATAGCTGAAAATGTTATCTTGCTTCCTGTAATCCAACCAACTAAGACAGGTTTTTGGAAAGTTATAATTCCACTGTATCCCTCTCTTTGACTATTTTCTCTGTTTTTGGTGGATTTCAAAATCAGTTAAAGTTGATATCAGAATTTTCCTAGAAAACACAGGAAAGACAGAAAATGCAGTAATATTTTTAATAATATAATTTGTTTACAATAGTGTATATAGAATATTGCCATATGTAGTGTAGAATTAATCTGATACTTTGCATGTTTCACATATCAGTTAAGATGATCTAAAATGTATCTAACTATGAGAAAATCAACACAGTTTTTTAATCTCTGAATTTGTTTTAGGAACTCATACAGCTCAACAGTTGCATATCACATTGTTTATATCCTGCTTTTTTGGCAATATTATTAGCTCAGTGAGCAAGTTGCTCTTTCCACATGGAAATGTGATTAAAGCAAAGCTTTTACCATTAGAGGCATTTTACCATTACCTTTTTTTGTACAGCATTATTGAAAACATGCTTATTTTAAAAGCTTTAATCACATGATGTAGTTCTTGGGGCTGTCCCATGGAGGGACAGGAGCTGAACTTTGATGATCTTTGCAGGTCCCTTTCAACTCAGGATATTCTATGGTTCTATATTTGACTGACATTTTAAATCTGACTACAGGAAAGGTGTAGATTTTCGCATAGTGTTACTTTTCTAGGATGAAAATACACAATTGAATTTATAGTTTATCAGCTCAAAATAAAATAACATTGTAAAATTTGAATGATTCATTAAACAGAATAAAAGGAAAAATTAAAGGCCACGAATAGTATATTTTAGCATAAGGTGTCCCCCCTTCCTCTGTCAGTTCAGTGCTAGCCAATTCCTAACTCTAACTGCATTTGCATTTGACTTTGAGATTGTTGTGTCATTTATATTTATTTTATGAAACATATCAGTCTACATGTTTGAAACTATGACAACTTGAGTTTTTCTCCAGAAAAGTTACTTAATAAAAAAAAAAAAAGATGGCTGAAAAAAACTTAAATCAGTGACTGGGGGAATACATCAGTGGTTAAGAAAATAGAAATGTTCATGGCAGCACTCTCTTTTGGGGGTAGGTATTGGAAAATTGTCATTGAGAAATGGTTTGTATTGCTGCTTGCCTAACTTTGTCCTGATTCCTTAAGGATTAATCACTGCCTCAGTGAGCCAGTATTCCCTTTAGCTGTTTCTTCTTTGGTTGTTTTTGTGCCTGCTGATGCAAGAGAGAACAGCAAAATTGCTTACTTGATAGTTTTCCAAAGTACCTTCTATTATTCCCCCCCCCCCAAATTACACAATCTCAGTAGCATTTTATGTAGTCACTGCAGTGTATGTATCACAGGCTGACCAGGAAGCTTTTTGACTAGCTTGTTTCTAAAGGAGCAAGGAGGAAAATTGAGTCACCTGTGTAGTGCTGAGCCCCACAGTTAGTTAACTTAGACTGTAAATGAACAATAAATTCCTGAAAATACATGAAATGTTTTTTGCAGAGTAGTATTTTAGATTGCAATTGCTGCTTATCTTGTCTTTGTTAAATAAAATACCATCTTGATTTTTTTTTCTAACTTTCTAAAACTAAACTTGAAATTTATTGTGAATATTTTTTGGATATATTAGAGTGTGATATCATATATGATACCATATATGATACATAGCTTCAATTGTATCTTACCATATTTTTGCCCTACTGATTTGTTATTCCTACTCACTGTGGTGCCTCTGAAATTTTGATTATAGAATTGTTGGAGCAGAACTATGGCCCAATGTTTGTATAGTATGGTCTGGATAGGTGCTAATAAGTAGATAGAATTCTATACTCACAGGGTGTGTGCTTCCCTCTGCTTTCTGCCTAGTGCTTCTCATAAATTACACACTAAATTGTATGATGAATTAATTAGAAGTAAAAATAAGGATGACAGTTCTGTCTAGAATAGGTTTTCTTACTCTGACTAAACATTGGTAAGCTTGGATAATTTTTTTTATGTAGGTGTAATCAAAAATTTTCTTTTTTTAAACATTAAAGCATGTTAAAACATTTAACACTCAAATATTGATCATTTCTGTTAAATATATGAGCAAGTAGATTATATTTAACATATGTCGATAATCATTTCGCTTTGAGGCTTTGTTACTTTGTTCCTTTTATATAGGACTTTGGGTTCCTTAGTAAAAAAATCTTAGGCTGATGGTCCTGTTCCTGAACTGCTAAGGTCTTGATCCTGCACCCTACGTTTATAAATACTGACTTTACAATGGAGATGCACTTTTTTGAGCTAGCTCTCATCACATCAATACCTGTGATTAATGGTTTAAAAAGCAGTTATATTTCAGCATGTATTCATTCTCAACTAAAGCAAACATGTGAGAAATCTTGCATAATTAGTAGATAAAAGGTAGTACTTGCCTTAGAGCCTTCATTTGTAATAATTGGTTATATGAAGGTATACACTGAATGATATGTAGTCATCCTGCCTGAGAGCATTTTCTATAATTAGTACCACTAAATATGAGATGGACATTTCTGTAAAATGTAGACACTGCCAAATATAGTATAGCCAAGCAGTGGTGTAACTTATACCTAAGTTTCATGTTAGTTCTTGGATACCAGTTCAAGAGGAAAATACTTCTGCTTCCAAAAAGACCCTTGATGTGTAAAATCTCTTAGTTTAGCTTTTCCTTCTGTTTTCCTCTTCCCCTACTTACCCTCCTTCAGGTTTATCTTTTCAGGGCTATTCACCAAATAATGCTTGTATGCCCATGAAAATTCCTAACCCAGCCCTGCTCAGCTTTCCACTACCTTTAAAAACGGAATAAAATAAAGAAAGTCACACAGGTTTTAATGCGCTAAACTGTCTGAAACTCCCTTTCAAATTCTTTCTTGAAGTTGCTTTTAATGTTATTTCTATCTACCACAATATGGGTAAGACTTGAATTCTGTATTTAATTGTTTAGAAACTTTGTAGAACGTCTAACAGGGTTTCTTTAGAACTTGTTGGTTCATTGCATGTCTTTATAAATGTTATTCTGTAGATTAAAAGAGTCTCTGAGGAACACAGTGGTGGTAATTCAAAATGGAAGTAGCGAAAGAGTGTTGGTAAATCAGTAGGTAAGGAAATGTTCTTTCATATGTGTGTGAAATATAAAGAAGTAGGTGCATGGACTGCAGAGAATTTCAGTTATCTAATTGTAAGGGATTTCATGCATTTCTGGAGTATTTACAGTAATTCTCTCTAAGTACAAAAGGTAACATAGATTACTGAGAGGTTTTGATCACTAAGAAAGCTACAAATCCTACAGATAGAAATGGCTACAACTGTTAATGGTGTTAATTTATTTTTTTAATGTTATGCTTACAAGCTCCTAAATAATTTACTGACAATGTTCTGGAGATCTTGCTGTTTGCTAAAGTCATCAACATTGTCATATATGCAATAGGAAATGTTCATTCCATTCCATTTTTTTAAATGTCTTGTGTTTTTTAGACCTAAAGATTGTCTCCGCTCTATTATGAAGAGAGTGAACCATAAAGATCCTCATGTTGCTATGCAAGCGTTAACGGTAGGTTCTTTCTAATGTAGTGATTTTTCTTCCTGGGAAGTTATATTGCACAAATCTGAGTGTTAATCTTTCTTTCATTAGCTTCTAGGTGCATGTGTATCAAACTGCGGCAAAATCTTTCATTTAGAAGTCTGTTCAAGAGATTTTGCCAGTGAAGTAAGCAACGTGTTGAATAAGGTAATGTATTGCATTGATTTATACATTTCATCTCTAAGTGAAATCAGAGTCTGAAAGTGGAATGTTTATAGTCTGAAAGTGGAATGGGATGTACTTTTGGAAGACTGGAAAGGGGCTGGGGGTGGGGGGGAAGCAGAGATTACTGAGAAGACTGTGGCTATCAGAAATAACTTCTTGAATGCCACTTCACACTAGTTACCTAGGTATTCTGTTTGGGGGAAGTGTGGTGTGTTAATTTATAAATAAACGAATTCATTTTCACATTAAATGACAGCAGTGAAACACTAAATACAAATGTGATGAAATGGAGATAATACAAGCCTTCAATGTAACCTTATTTTATTTTGGGCCTAGCACATATTGTACTAGTATAAATATGATGCTGATGTACTATTCTCCCTTTCTAATAAAGATATCTTTGAGTGCTAATCTTGACTGTGAAAGAAAGAGTCTGTACTATTTATATTGAACTAACATGAAAGTACTTGAAATTCAGAACCAATTTCTACATTATTTAACTAGTTTCTACTGTCCATGCAGGGTCATCCAAAAGTTTGTGAAAAGCTGAAAGCCCTTATGGTGGAATGGACTGATGAATTCAAGAATGACCCACAGCTTAGTTTAATATCTGCTATGATAAAAAATCTTAAGGAGCAAGGAGTTACTTTCCCAGCTATTGGTTCACAGGTACATTAGATTTTTGTGTTTGTTCTCAAAGGGTATCACAAATTCTTTTTATGCTCAACTCTGTATTTTAGTTTGTCTTCTTGGATTCTAGAATGTGCTTGGCAAACAAAATGAAAACTCTCTTAATAAAACTTTTCCTTGAGGAGTGGAATGCTTTCACTTACCTTAGATTTTTATATTGCAGATGAATATAAAATGAAGTGGTGAACTTAATGCATTGTCAGTTTTTGTTGGATTCATTTTTACATCTTTCACTTTTGGCTAGGCTGCTGAACAGGCAAAAGCAAGTCCAGCTCTAGTTGCCAAAGATCCTGGTACAGTAGCCAACAAAAAGGAAGAGGAGGATTTAGCTAAAGGTGAGTACAATTACTTGCTGACATGATGCATATATTTATAAATATCAAAAAAGCAAGAACAAATGTTTTGCTTCCTTCCTCTATGTGAATAATGTATTTATGGATTGGAATTATGATTTTTATTCCTTTGTTTTCATACTTTTCTTGGAGGGTTAGAGATTAAAGGTATTCTATGGATAAAAAAAGATGTAAATTTTCTGATTTTTACCTTTTTTTTTCCCCTTACAAAAGTGAAACAAATCTTCAAAAATCTCATGTTAAGGACATGCCTCTACTGTGGAAATGTTTGATGCAAATGCTTGGATTTTCCCTCTTTCTGGGGCAAGTGAAGCGCACTGGTTTGCAATCTAGACATTGGATGGAAGAAGAAAATAAATATTATGATAAAAGTTGTATGCAAAGTATTCTGGGTATATTACTTTTATTCCTTTGAATACTGCTTCTGTAGTATACCTTCAGCTTTGGTTACTGTAAACATAAATGACTGTTAAATGTCTCACATCAGTCCCCATAAACAAAACTGGGATGGTTTCTTTTGATTTACTGTTGTACTAAAGTATATTTAAAGGTCATTTAATGATCCAATACCCATATGTGTGAAGAGTTATTCTTAGAGTAGTTTGATATTTATGGTTGAGAACTGTTTTTTGAGTTCAAACTTCAGCAATATAAAGGCATCAAATGTTATGTTTTGTACCTAGGATGGCTTTGGGCTTAAAGTTGCATTGATGGCTTTTCACTATATGATTTAAGTTCTTCCACTAGTAGTTGGTGGATGTTTGGAGTTTCTCATCTTACTTTTTTTTTGTTTAGCTACTGTCTAATATAACATTGATTTGTTTAAATGACCATTAGCCAATATGTATATGTTACTAATGGCTTCTTCAACAGTCAACCTGCCAAAGTCTATTTAAATCTGTGTCTCAAAAGTTCATACTCTGCATGTTTGCTAATGTTTATTTTCTTTGGCTTTATCTCCAGTCTGTCCCTTCTTAAAAATGATCAATTTTTTTTCCCACAAACTTAGAGGGGTTTAAGATAAGTGAAACCTTTCTGCTCAGTCAAGCTTTATTGAAAATGACCCAGAAATGTGAAATTATTCAAGGAATGATAGGGATAAAAAAAAGGAATAGATAAAATTTTGCTTGTCTACACAAAAATAATTTTGTTAATTATGCATTAAGGAGGCACTTCTTTACTGTGAGGGTGACCAAGCACTGGCACAGGTTTTCCAGGGATGTCATGGTCTCTGTCCTTGGAGATATTCATATTCACAAGTTGTCTGGATATAGTCCTGGGCAATCAGCACTAGGTGACCCTGCTTGAACAGGGGATTGGACACAATGACCTCCAGAGGTGCCTTCCAACCTCAACCAGTCTGTGTAATCCTCTGATTCTGTGAATCCAGGCTAAAGGCTCCTGTCTAACAGAGAAACACTGTGTACTGGAACAGCTGTATCCTTTTAATGTTACAAGCAATCTCTAAAAGTTCAACATAGTGTAAGAAGATGTATAGTAAGTATGTAGATGTTTTACATCAGTTCAAAGTTGTAACAATAATATAATAATAAAAAATGGATGACTTCACTGGGTTATTCCATTTGTGCTTAAGTGCTGTTTATTCATCCTGTCCCTGTTGAAAGCCTCAGTAAATCTACAGGCAGAATTGTGCTCTCCAGTTGTAAAACATCTGTTTGGTTTTTTACTGTTATTTCTAAGAGAAAGGCAGAGGGTGATTACAGTGCAACAGGAATAGAATTATACTAAAAGTTTTCACAGAATTAAATCTTCATATCACTCAACCCATTTTTATAGGGAATTTTCATCTGAGTGATTCTTCTTTTGCAGCTATTGAACTGTCACTAAAAGAACAAAGGCAACAGCAAACAACACTTTCCAGTTTGTATCCGAGCACCTCAGGCCTTTTAACAAACCACAAACATGAGGGCCGAAAGGTTCGTGCAATCTACGATTTTGAGGCTGCTGAAGACAACGAATTAACTTTTAAAGCTGGAGAACTTATAACTATTCTTGATGACAGGTAATTTATACAGAATGTCTACTAGAAGTATATTAGACTGTAAAAATGATTTGGGAGTAGTGATATCTTCTATGTAGAAGCATACCTTGGAATACAATTGCATGGAAACATATTAAAATATTAAATACTTTAGTTATCACCTAGATTTTTTACAAATAAATGTAATTGCATAAAAATTTTTGTGTACACACAACACGTTCTCTCTGTATATACAAGTTGTATTTATGTACAAGTAATATAAAAGCCTTTCCTGTGCAATTCCTAGGAAAATTCCATGTGAGTATGAGTTGTATAATGTATGGGGTTTTGGTTTTTTGTTTTAATCTTTAGTGATCCGAATTGGTGGAAAGGTGAAACTCACCAGGGTATAGGATTGTTTCCATCTAATTTTGTAACAGCTGATCTTTCTGCTGAGCCAGAAATGAGTAAGTAACATTGTATTCATGTATGTATGTTAAATCCTGCCATCGCCTAAGGTATATTTCTGCAGTGATTTCCTTTCCCTTATGATGGAGTTCAGTTGCAAGTTAATGTGATAACTGAAGTAAAACTGAGGAGCTCTTGCTATGATCTCACAAACAACAGACATACCTTTGTGTCAGACCAAGTTGCCCAAGCTGGCTTCTGCTGAAAAATATGATGCTGTCTGTTCTGACTTTGTCAGTGGCTTTCTTGAGGCTCATTAGATCACTCCATTGAGACCTAGGTAAATGTAGGCATTAGTAGCTTTTTTCAAATTGCCTTTTGGCCTGGTTGCAGTGGTGCATGTCTAATCGTGGTAAAACTGAAGGCCCCTGGGCAGATGTCAGTCAGATTACAAGTGTTCAAATAGTTCAAGAAACCTCCATACTGTAGGTGTGTATTTGTGCATAATGATTTTCTGTACACTGGTTATCTACTTGCATTTATTTATATCAGTCTAACATACTCTAAGTATTTAATAAAAATATTAAACATTAGACATGGCTTTAACATCCTAGAATTGATTCCTGTAAATCTCATGGGCTTGCAAGATTAATCTCCTGTGAGCTCAATTTGAGGGTGCTAAAGGTAAGAGCAGGTCAGCAGAATTACATGCTGTAGCAGTCATTTGTGATGTGTTTAGAGTATCTAGTAAGGGTAATGTGATAAGAGTAGCATTTGGCTTTTTTGTTTTAGCTTCCACTACAGAGGAATGAGATGCTTTGAAGATATGATTTGATGGAGAAGGAATAGTGAAATTTGAGAACTTTTGATTCTGTACTTTGCTTTGGAGAAAAGAAGCTCAGTTTGTCATAGATGATTTTATCAGTTTTCTCTTAAACCTGACTCATTAGCCCTATTTCTTCCAATCACTCTTTCTGGATCTTTTTTCCTGATGACTCATTAGTAAGTATGTTATGTGCAGGGAGATTATAATAAAGACATTTATTTGATAAAGCATGTTTTAGTTGACCCTGTGTGAACTGTTCAAATGCAAAAAACCTAGGCAACATGCTAGCTATATTATATTTGTCATTGTTTGTTTATTTTTATTTTATAAAATTAAGTCTGCCTGTTTATTTTGCAGTGAAAGCTGAGAAGAAAACAGTGCAGTTCAGTGATGAAATTCAAGTAGAGACAATAGAACCTGAGCCTGAACCAGTTTATATTGATGAAGTAAGCATGCTAAAAGTACTGTTTTTCAGCTGCTGGTACATTTAAATATGTGATAATTAAGCCTTTCATCCTGTAGTTCAAAAACAAAAATCAAGAGAGAATGGGAAGGGAAAGTTGATGTAATTAAAATAAAAAGATATGTGCAGTATTCTCATTTCTTCAAGAGTCTTCAAGCTTTTAGACATTTCTGAAACTGAATTTGGAAACTACATTCCATTTAGGGCCCTACTCCTGGACTGTACATCCAAACTACAAGCTTGATGTTAAGTGACAAATTTGCTTCCAAATTTTACTTTAAGTACTTCAGGATACCTGAGATACCCATCTTGACTCCTGTCTTAAATTTATTTCCAATGTAACCACCACTGTCTACCCTAAGAATCAAAGATCTCTTTCCATCTCTGAAAAAGGAATGTTTTTTCCCTACCTTTTTTTCTTTTTTTTTTCCCCTTGACACAGGTTCTGTCATTTTTGACATGAGAAATCAGTTAGTACCTTACTAAAGTCCTATTAAAGTCCTACCTCAAAAACTCTTCTTCCCAAGAGATATTAGTTTGTAATCCACCAAAATAGCTTATCTCAGGCCTTCCTTGAGGTACCTTCCAGCTTTTGTTCTTCTATGAGTCCATGTTGGTTTTTTGTTTTACTGTCTTCTTTTATTTTTAAATTTGCTGTGGTATAATATTTAAGAAAGTAATTCATTTGACTGTTCATTTCCTTTCCAGGGTTTAGGGAGGACAAAACATGGTTTCATTTTCTACTTTGATACAACCTATATAACTCTGGCCTGATAAAAGCTATTTTATTTGATAGCACTCATCTAAAAAGTGATTTAAAATCTTTTATATATAATGTTTCATTAAACAATATAATTCACTTCAAGACATATTTTTCAAAGAGTTTATGCCTGTTCATTTTATAACCTTTGGTATTTTTATTATAAGAAGGTTGCACTTAAACTGGTTAATTAAGGATGACTTATTCTGAAATCAACCATGCAACCCCTCCAAACATCATCTTAAAAAAATGGGGTATGTGTGTATATATAGGTAATGACATGACTTACGTACTGAATAGGCCCCATACACTTAAAAAGCAGGATAGATTTTCAGTGAATCTGAAGTACTCTCTCCACATATTGTGTCAAAACATTTCCACTAATCCCACTAGGTGGTGTTATTGCATGTGTAATAACGAGAATGGAAAAATAGAGGTTGCTCAGAAAATACTGTTTAGAAGGACTTTTAGCAATAAAGGAGTATTCTGCACATTCCACTTGTTACTACTATTAATTTTTCTCTATTGGCTTTTCCTTGTTAAAGCATCTTCGCTCTTATAAAGTAGCATGTATGATTTGTATTTTCTTAGTCTAGATGATTCCCAAGTGCCAAGAGATCAAAATGGCTGTAAACAGCTGCTTTAGTTTACTATCCTGAAAGTGCTAATTCCCTGCGCCCCATATGCGCCCTAATTATACAACTTGTGTTCTAGGATAAAATGGACCAACTCTTACAGATGTTACAAAGTGCAGACCCATCTGATGACCAGCCAGATCTCCCAGAATTGCTTCATCTTGAGGGTAAGAAAATATTGTTTTGTTGTTGTTTTCTTCTCTAGTAATTATCTAAATCAAACCAAATTGAAACGAAGCTGAAACTACTTCAGCTTCATGTGCATGCAGGAAGCATGCCTGAGAAAAGTGCCTGAGCCATAATTATCTTCTCACTTCCTTTTTCCACATCTAAGAGACCAAATTGCAAAACGTTAACTTAAAACAAGCCCGCTCCTCTCTCAAGAAAACCATTTTCTATATTCTTTTTCTTTTCAAGACCCAGAAATATTTAATTCAATCATATTCATCCATTTTTTTTTCCTTCATAGAGTAGCACAGCATGAGTGGCAAAAGGAGTCTAAGGAAGATTCTGTGAGAGGAAGCAGAAATACTACTAAGGTTTAGAATAGACCTGTAGGTGTCCCACATGCTTTTCACTTGCATGTATATATCTGTAGGAGTTGCATATTAACAAATACTTTATAGACTGCTACAAATTATACTAGCCTTTTAGAGTCAGATTATTCAGGCTCCCTCTTCACAGAGACATTGTAGACCATTTTACCTGGGTTGATATATGCACCAAAATTTTTGGGAGGGAACTCAGAGAAGGAAGAAAAGAAACTTTCTGATTATGAGACAGAACATAGACTTAAATTGACAATTCAAATAGGACCAGACTTTGCTAAAAATGGCAGGTTCTACATCTATCTAGAAGTTAATTGTGGAAGTGTATAGGTTTATAAGCTTTTGGGTATGTCCCATCTTTCCACACCCATCTGGTTCATTATGCCTTTAAATGAATCCTGTTTTAGAAACTGCACATCAGTAAACTGTCTGCACATATTCTAGTTCCACTAAAGCTAAAGAGGGGTAAAAAGAAACATGACTGGTTTTATTCTTTCAAGTCCCAAATATAGCTATAGAGGCTGTTGTCTAAGAAGCAGATTGCCTGTATCTGGTCCAGGACAAAGACAAAGAAATTAAAGGTATGCTTGTCCACCAACCTCCAGATATGGCTTACATTAGGATTTCCTTGCAAATGCAATCATTAAAACAATGCTGAATTTTATACTGAACTGTGGGACCGGTCCTAGAATCTGAAAGCAGTAGTGGGGTTAGATGATTGCTCCCCAGCTACCTACAACAGCATTTGCTGTACTCCTAGAATGCCAATTCAAGATGACTTGCTCTACACTTTAATAGGCTTTGGTGAGCTACTGTTTTTGGCATAGGTTCTGGGAATTTTGTAACAGATGTGTTTTGAATTGTAGGTTCCTACCAGTGGTGGCAGGTGCTGATCAACATTTGACAGAAACCCCACTTCATTTTCTTCTGCCAACCACATGTCCAGTCACAAATTCTTTAAATTGGAGACCTCATCCTAACACGTTCAGGAGCAAAGGGTTTGTGGTTGGCAGCAGTGCAGTCATCATGTTACCATACAGATATCTGAGCAACCCTTGTCATGCCTTTTACCACACTTTATGCTGTACATAAAAATAAGCAGAACTTAGACCAGGTTTTACATCTTTTCCCAGCATTTCTGTCGATGTGTTACTGATATGAGGTTCAAAGAACTAGATGGGTATCTCTCATACAACTCCTCTTTCACCTGGAGTTGCCTTTGAGGAACCCAATAGTAGTGCCCTTTCATGCATCATGGCCCAGACATTTTCAGGACCTTCTCTATTCCTAATATCCAAAACTTCCCTTTTAGCTTTCTTGTCAGTTTATTTTACATTTGACGAATTCTGTCTTTCTGTAATTAACTGCGGTTTGCTTGGCAGTTGGGTGACTCCCATGTCCTTGTGCTGAAAGGAGGCAGGGAGTGCATTTTTGTTTATTTTAATGCTTTTCTATTCTGCTTCTGGTAAGCTTTTGTGTTGGTTTTTGCATGTGTTAGTGGTTTGAAAAAGCCCCTTTCTCCAATTAGGATTCTAGGGAGAGAGAAATATGCTATTAGTGTCTTTGACTTGCAGTTGATTGAATCATTGCAATCAGTTTTCTCCTTCATTGTTTTCATAAATTTTCTTTTTGTATTAATGTTAGTTGAACACATGATTTGCAGTGGCAAATTTTCTTCCTTGAAGAGGAGATCACCTATCAGATTTACTTGAACCTTTTAATGCAAATTAGTTTCAATTTTATGTTTCCTAGATGTTAAATGTGTTTTGCCTCACTTTATTTTAAAATTTTGAAATTGTACCACTAGTGAAAACTTCAGCTGTATCTCATTCTTTAATTGTTCATGACGCTCCCTCTGTTACTATAAATTTTTGGCATGCAGATTATAGTAATGAACTAAAAAAAATGGACTAGCGTCTACACATTTCTGACTTGTAATTACTTTTTTAAATTGCTTTTTGACTTTGCAGTATGGAAATGTTTATTACTCTGTTATATTTTAATGTATTTCTATTCTAGCAATGTGCCACCAGATGGGACCTCTCATAGATGAAAAGTTGGAAGATATAGACAGGTAAAAAAAAGTCATGTGTTTTGACTCAAAATTGATTCTTAGAAATACCAGTGTTATTACTTAATGATATCTTAATAATTTTTATGAATATTGGTGAAGAAAATAGGTGTATGTGTTAGTAGTTTTTCCTTTGGAAAGAGGTCTGGAGGTTTTTTCCTCCTAGTCACATATTTTATAGTATTGTACCATTTGATGCTCTGGCATTTGTCAGGCATCACTTCACAGCAAGAATATGTTGCTTCTCACACCTCATGAAATTTCTCTGTATTGTCTGTTCTATACTGAAGTTATCTAAATTGTAGAATAAACTGTAAGATATATTTTCTAGGAAACATTCAGAACTTTCAGAACTCAATGTTAAAGCGATGGAGGCTCTTTCTTTGTATAACAAATTGGTGAATGAGGACCCAATGTATTCCATGTACGCAAAACTACAAAACCAACAGTATTACATGCAGTCATCTGGTGTTTCTGGCTCTCAGGTATGTCTGTAACCTTTAATAGCCACTGACCTTATCAAGTGCATTCCTACTGAGCAGTATTTTCTCTCAACACAAATATGTAAACAAATAAAAATATAAATGTTTGATTTCAGCTGCAAGCTTTGGATATTGTCCTTTCGCACGTTCTAACACTTTTAGTTTTTGTCTCTTCAGTTCCTTTTGATCAAGGAAAAAGCCCATTCTGGGCTTTGAGTTGCACATAAAATTAAAAATTCAAGCTGCTAGGGCTTTGCATAGTGGGTCAAAGAAAGTAAGGAACGAAGGAAGTTCTATTCCTGGTTAAGATTATGCCCTCCCCTATCTACTCAGAGATAACCATCAATATGGAAATGCTGCCATGAAAGAATTACCCTTTTTAACTTCAGTAATTTAAATTAGAGGAAACTAAAAGATTTGAGAGGCTATCTTTAAATTCTGATGTCAGATATTAAATAGCAAATTTTCTTGTATTTATTTCTAATATTCCTTTATTTAACTTCCTAGGTTTATCCAGGGCAAACCCAAAGTAACGCATACTTGGTGGCAGGGAGTGCACAGATGGGCCATGTTCAAGGTTACAATCTTCCTCCTGAACAGCTCCCTTCTCTCAGCCAAGGCACAGTTACTCCATCTGCCAGCTCAGTACTGCCTGGTCAGCCTGCACAGACATCTTACACAAAGTAATTTTAAGTATTTTCCTATTCAAGTCTTAATCAATTGAAACATAATGGACTGCAGATAATACTTAAAGGAGACATTTTTCCTTTCAGAAATATAACTATAAACACAACTGAAAGATAGTTTAGAGCAATTATTTCCAATGTGTCATGTATTTGTTAAAAATTCCTGTCAAACTTCTAAGTTTTCTGTTGTTTTTATCATTTGCTCCAGTTTTTAATTTTCTATATGTGAAATATGTAATTGATATAGCTCTATATTTCTTTTATATCAAAAATAGAGAAAATTATATAGACATGACTTAGTAGTAGTTGTAACTTTTAATATACATTTAATGATGAAGATTATCTGCTGCTCTGGCTGGCTTAGCATAATTTCTGTATATTCTACAGTTCTTTTTTTTTTTTCCAAATATCTTACCATACAAGAATGGAGAGAATTCTGCTCATTTTAGAAAAGAAGTGAATGGGCTCACTAAGGTTTATGCACCTTGCCCATATAAAGGATTTACAAGAGGCTTTCTACATTGGGTAGATAGCCAAAGATGCTAAGCTTTGGTTAAGCTACCTATATTGTGAAAAACTTTTGAATTGGCTTTAGAAAAAGATTAGGGGATTTGGGGGTCTTTTTTGTTTTTGGTTTAGTGGTTCCTTTTTTTTTTTTTAACTGTGTAAAGTAATTTTATTCTATAAAGTTGGGAGAGACATCCATCTTGAGTCTTTAATATATTTGATAGTTTCTGATCCCCAAAGTTACTTTCTTGGTATAGTAAGGCATACCTTGATAAAGTGACTTTCTGAATACTTCACCTGACCTGTTTTGCTATTTAAAACAGTTGGTTGGGTTTATGAAAGAGTTCGGTTGGGCTTTGGTTTTTTCCATGAACAAAATGGAAGACAGATGGCACCATCTTGCACCTGGATTCCATGTTGCACCTAAAAATAATACAAAAGTATAGATTCTAATTCTGGAAGTATAAATTCTAATTTTAAATCCATGGGAGGTGTCTTATGTGTGTTTAAATCTGAGGAGTGTGTTTGAGTTTTAGTGGGAATACTCACTGACAATAGTTTTAAATATTCAAAGTGTCCCAAATTAAGAGATTTTTGTGTGTATATATAGAACTGAAGACACAGTAAAGTTTTGCTGTTCTGTTGGTAAATTGTTTGTAAATTTAACTTTACAAGTTTTTGGTTTTTTTATTTTTTTTTCAGTGCAATGGTTGGTTCTGTTGCTGGAAGTACTTACTCCAACCAGGCTTCAGTGTATAGTCCACCACCTGGTACTGTTGATGTTGCTGCTTATCAGAATGCTGGAACTAATATGTCCCAGGTGCCAAACTATAACTTAGCATCTACAGCTCTGCCACAGACAGCAGGCAGTCAGCAAGCACCTCCACAACAACCACAGCCTCCACCACCTCAACAACCACAGCATAGCTACTCACAGAAGGCTCTGCTATAGGATCCAGGACTTCTGATTCCTAATCTTCTTTAACCTCTGCTAAAGGCAGTTGGCGATTCTATGAGTTTCTTCCTTTAATCTCTTAAACTTTGTTTATCCTCAGCTTAATAAGAATCTCTCTCGGTGAACAAGTTCAATTTGCACTGACTTTTTAGGATTTTTTTTTTTTTTAATTTTGCAGAGGAACTGATATATTTAGGAAATTTACTTCCTTTTAAAATGCCTAAAAATTGGTACAAGATTATTTATGTATGGTAAAATTGGCTAGTCTGTGAAAACTCAACATTTGCAAACTGTTGTGGCATATATGTTATGTACATATAGTGTGTGATTGCAGTAGTGCCCATTTCGTATAGCTATGGTGGTTGTGTGAATATATTTAACACAATGTTTAAAAATAATTTACTTTACTATTTTATTTTAATCATGAACTGACAACCATATTTCATAGTTTTGTGTAGTTTTAAGACAGATGTGATGTCTTTTTCCAATGCAGGAAAAGCAGTAATTCTGCATATCATGGTTACAATTACGAGCTAGGGTCTATATATGAATTTACAAACTTATCTGAGTCTAGGTTTCACTACTTCTTGAACTGAACACAAGTGTATCATGACTATTAGATAGCTTATCTACCAAAGTAAACTGGTTAACTAGTAAGTGATTTGGGGGGATAACAGCAAATTATGATTCTGCTTTGGACATAATTAATAACTTAAAACTACTATTCAGAGGCTGCTAAACATATGGGACCATGCAACAGATCAGGATCTTGCATTTTGTCATGAGAAGCATGTAATTTATTTTTTCCAAGTTGTTTTTTTTACAATGAGAACCAGAACTGTGTTCTATGTGTGTTGGTAGAGATTACACCAAAGAAAGACAAAGGAATTGAATTGGAAGAGAAACAATGGAGTTTTAAACTGGAACACACAACATTAATTACACTATTTTATTCAAGTCTTCTTAATTAGAACATGGAGAATTATGGACATTTAAATCACTTTGCTGAACAAACCTTCAGGGCTTCGTTTTATCTCTTGTGGCCTTGCTTAGCAATTTGTTCTGTTTACTGTTTTAACACAAACACTTCTGCCTTAAACATCTGTTTCAATTTTCAGTTGTACCATTTTAAGTTACTAGCCCTTCTATATCATCAATAGTTTATGAAGCATCTCATTTTAATCCACGTTCAGGTTACTTTGAACTCTCTTATGCAGCAACATGTATTAGCCTGTTTAAACCCTTGTGTTTCTCAGTAACTTAGTCAACTGTCTCTTTAAGGCATTGTATTTTCTTTCTGTGGCTGAGGTGCTACAAAAGAAACATGGTAATTGAAGGCAGCATTTTAGGCGTGCTTGATCTGAGTTTCTTTTACAAAGACTGTTGTTATTTTGCATTTGTATTCAATCTAGTCATCATGGTTTTGTCTTTTCCAGCTACTCTAATTCCTCTTAAAGCAATACTAGATGGCTTCAACATCAGATCTGTGTTTTTAGTCTTGCTACTGTGTGTGTCAGAAATTGTTTGCTTTTGTGTACTATATTTTAGTGTGATGCTTCTGGAATTAAATGTTGCAACTGTACATTATACTATAAAAGGACCTCAGTTATCCCATACACTCCTGCATCTGCTCACAGCTACCTAACATGCATTTGTTTCACTATTTTAATTGACACTGGTGTTTTGCAAGATGCTTTCAGATGAATACTTTGCATAACTTTTGACGGGGGTGGTTACAAAATATGCCCATAGCTGATCTGTTCCAGTTGGAGATGTTCTAGCCAGCTGATTGTTCTAATACTAGTATTTTCACACTTTTTTTCTCTAGAACTCTTAAGCGCCCTCACAAACTGTCATTAATTACTTCAGTACTTGGTGGCATCACAAAAGCCTTTGGAATTTGAAAAGAAATACTAAAGAAAAGGATAATAATCCAAGATATTGTGTCATAGATAATATTTTAAGGATTGAAGAAGTGATCTCTTTATAAAAGACATGTAGTATAATTTAGTGTTCTTTGTATGCATTCAGTACCTTATTCCCAAATCAGATATTCAATGTGTATAAAAATGTATCATTTATATACAAAACTGAAAATAACTTTTAATTCTGTAGTTCTTAGTCCCTGATTCAAAGAGAAGCTTGAAGCATCAAGAGAGTCTGGCTGACATTGACTATTGTATTCTTAGGTTTTCCCGTGTTGTTCCCTAACAAGGACCTATGGAACTTCTGTACAGAAATGACCCAGCAAAAATATTTTTGTTACTAATTTGTCGTTGTTTTTAAAATTTTGGAAGTCTTTTCTTGACATACAGCAATGCTCATTCTTGGTTTCTCATTTGAACGCAGAAACTTTAGGTGTATCTAAAGTTTTTCTGCTTTCCAACTTGCTTATTTTGGGCATTCAGCCATGTTTATGAAAATTAAAATCACCTTTCATTTATATTCATCATGACCAGAAAAACCACTTGCTAAATTCAATGCCCCTCTAAATTCAATAGAATGAAAGTTGCAAATAAAAGATGGACACTTTCTATTTTCCTTCCTGCCTTTACTGAAGTACTGCTCTAAGGTATCCCCTGTAACAGACTGAGAATTTTAGTTGTTTTTGAATTCGATTTCATTGTCTACACCTGGTGCAGTAGATCACTGTTTTTTAGGTTCAGAGTCTTAGTGTTTCTGCTGCAACCTACATTTTCCATTTCACATGCAATGTTCTGATTAAATTGAATTTGGAGCTGTATTGCTTTATGTTGATTTTTCTCATCAGGAAAGTTAATTTTGTCTTCTTGCTTGGTTGTGTCCTGTATGCTCAATACTCTAAAGTGATGCCTTCTCCTACCTTGCTAGATGCTGTCATTACATGAATTCATTCAGTCATCCTCTTGTATTCTCTCTGATAACTTAGAAATTATATGATGAACCTTAGGATTAAAGGGTGGGCTCAGTTCCGCGCACACTGTGTCTCACCTAAAAAAATCCAATGCGCAGGCTGGAAGGTGGAAAGACCTTCCCCGGATCTTCGCTTGCGAAGACTGGCCATTATTATTATTATATGTCAGTTCAGCTCCTCTCTATGGGTTTGGTATCATGAACCTGGAGATGCCGTTGCTGGTCCTTCTCTGCCATGATTGATTCTCAGATTCCTCACTGATGCATTGTTTTGACCAAGTTCATGTGTGTTCTACCTTACTATGGTATTGAACACAGAAATGTGGGTGAATGGGGGAAAGTACACGTACAGCTACTGTGTGGAAAAGCTTTTTAGCAATTAAATAAAGTGTCAGAAAGTTAAACTATTTGAAAGTTAGGAACCCCATGGAAATGTTACTCATGTTCCAATAGAAGACCTAATTTTTGAATGCCTTGTTTCTTTACATGTATATTGTCAATGTAAGGCTAAAATGTTTTCAAAATATTTTGTATAACTCTTTGTTACTTAACCCTTTCATTAAGGAATACAAAAATGCTAATTAACTTCAGAAGGGGTATTTCAGTGGCTTGGTTAGCCTGAACTGGAGCAAACTCTGGAAAGTGCCTTCTGTGCATTTCACTTCTATAAGCAAAACTTGTTTACCCCTGTGTATCATCTCAATTTATGTGGGCATAACAAAGGTGTTAAGATTTACTGTAAAACATCCCAGGAAAAACACTGAGGCAGTGTGTTGAAATCTGCTGTATTGATGTCATGGCAGTGTGTTCCAGAGTGCTCAGCTGCAGGAACAGTCAACATATTTGTCCACTTCTGTTTAGTAAATGGTACTGGTGTAGATGTGGATTTAATGTCATTGGCCAAAACACATATAGACAGCAGTAAAACAACAGTAGAAAGGAACAAAATATAAGCGTTACTGCAGGCTTCTCAACGTGGGTGGGGCAGCATGCTGCCCTCATGGTACAGTTACTGTTCATGAACTTTGAGTTGGGGGAACTGAAATGAATTTGAACTTCAGAAAATTCTGCCAGGAATTATTAGGAACAAAGGTGATAAATTTGCTCTTAATACCATGTACATATTTGCTGATTAAATCTAGGCTGCTATTATAGTTCTCTGATTTCATCTAGATGGCAGGAACATCAGATTTACACTGGAGAACTGCTTAATACCTCATTCTCCAATTTTTTTAATGTTTTCTCTAATATCACTTCCTTTATTTTTCACTCACATTTCAAAGGTATCTGTGCAGTCTTTACATACTGAGGTCTTACCTTATTCCTTCTCAGCTGGGTTTCACAGAATGAAAAAGGATATCTCTAATTACAGCAGCTACACTGGCATTTTGAGTTACACAACTGCAGCTTCCTTTGGAGAGATGCATGCATCTATTTTGAAGAACAAGGGAGCATAATTTTTCCAGTTAAAAACTCGGAGGAGATATTTTTAAAGAAAAAGGTTAAGTAAGTTACAGAAACCTCCATTACTAACAACAGGCAGAATCATTTTTTTCTCTGTTACTCAATCTTAGTAAAGCTGACCAACTCCACACTACAGCTACTCCTTTCTCATTTTTAGCTGCAATGAAGAATAGTGACCTTCATACATAGACTGTCCAACACCATAGGAAAACATGGAGAAGGCCTTGACATTTGAACTTTTTCCTTCAATATGTAAAAAACACTATCTACATTTTTAAAGCCTTGTTTCTTGAATTAGGATGGCTGTGTTTAAAAACATTCCATTTGCTACTATGTAAAATTGCAGATCTGAATATCCCTTTTTACGCTGCTACCTTGGCAAAAAGGTGGTAGGGACTTTTGTTCTTCTATCCTGCATGTTCTTCTGGAATCCAAATAATTTTTGTCTTTGTCATGAAAAAGAAACCTGCTGCAGTCTGCTTTGGTTTTAATAAAGTGTACACAGTAGCAAAGTGTATTTTTGTTTGGCTTTGTTTGTTTTGATGCTGCCTTTGAAGTTGGCATATGTATATATTTAGATATACTGCACTGTTGTAAAAGAATTGTTTTAGTAAATAACACTATTTGTAAAAACTGTTAATTGTTTTTGGTATGAATGCAAAATATTAAAGTTGGAGTATTTAGTTCATTACGTTGCCAAGTCAGTTTATAAATTTAATGGAAGAATAATCTGAAAATGGCTTCCTTTGCTGGAAGGTTTTTTGGTTATCCTGGGTGAAGGCTTGTGGGGTTTTTCGGGATGATGCTTACACACAGATTACATTATTTTTGCTTTAAAATCTGTCATTAACTTTCTCCTGCTAAGCCCAAGTAATACACTGTACATATTATTTCAAGTATGCTGCATGTCTACTTTTGGTAAATACAGCACGAATATTTCAAAGGGATTGTAAAGAAGAAATGAAAACAACAGCATCTGTACTGTCTAATGTATCTATTTGGTTACAGATCAATAAGCAGATACTATGGTATCCTGACAGGTAATTTACACAGTCGTCTGACAGTTAATTCCATTTGACTTGTCTTACTACTGTAACTTTTCTGAAATCTCACTTTACTCTGTTGCAGAATAGACTTTTATCTCTCACGATACTTGTAAATTTAAATTATCTGGATTATTTTCAGTCAAGGCTGTTTTAGTTCATACTGTTTGGGATCTATATTTTAAGTGAGAAATGAGAATTAAGCCATTATTAGAGAACCTGTGAAGGAACTTCCACTGATTAAGGTTGATTTGTACTTTTTAAAATTTACATCCACGTTGAGAGTATACATGGGCAGCGTGCAATAATGCAGATAATCATACGGAGTTAAAAAAGGCAAGTATGTATTTCAAGTTGTAAGTTTAGAGCATCCTTAGACTACAATTTCTTGATATAAAATATAAGGAATGTAGTGATTGTAAGTACCTCATAGTTTGCTTTGACTTCGCTTAAGCCCATTAAACATTAGTTTTGAGTCCTTATGCATGCACCTTTTATCTCTAAAAGACAGTGCAGTTTGGTGCTTGTGCCCCATGTTCCCAGGAACTACTACCTTACCTCATAGAGGTGCAGAATCCAGCAGGAACATGGTGGGTGGGCGGTAGATTCTGTCACGAGTGAGACACTGCTCAGTAGAACAAACTCATTGACTGATCAGTGTCTCTATTTACCAGTTCCTGGCTACAGGAAGCACGTGTATAAAAAGAGGAAACCTTTCAATTTAATACTATAACCACTCAACTTTATACTATAACAGTTTTGTAAGCTTGATTTACTAATAAGGAAACAAATTTTCCCCGCTACTGAAATCGCACTTGAATCTGTTTCTAGCCAGTTGTGATGGCTCGCCCCTGTTGACTCATGCACCCTCAGGTGTTAGTGGATTATGCAGACATGTTTTATTTCTCAGTCTTTGTGCCAGACTGTCCTGATTTACTGGTCTTCACAAAGGAGCGTGAACATTTAAATCGCTTGGTTTAAAGGCCTTTAGACTTGCAAGATTTCCCCCAAATTAGCCTTTTCTTTCCCTGGTGACATGCTGTCATAGCTGATGCTGAAGAATTGTGGTGAAGTTAGGCAAACCCTGCAGCGAAAGTCATGTGGCCAGAGGAATATAGGTAATATAATGATTTTCATAAAAATATGTTGGTTTATGTAAGAAAAAATAAGTCTTGGCTTAGCCAAGGGCAGAGAAGTCATGGTTCTCTGAACCTATGTATGAAAACAGGGCCAGCACCAAGCACCTCACTGAAATGTGCTATTGGAACTTTCAAAATTATTATTTGTTTGGGTTTTTTTTGAGAAATCAAGGGTGGTGAGACTCTTGTTAGGAGTCTGTTTGTTCAGAGGGCTCTCCTTCCTCCTAGTATGGTGAGGAAAAACAAATAGTGTAGAATTTTTTGCTTTAATGGAGTTCACAATCTCACTTTGTAACAATTTCTTGCAGCTTCTGTGGAGTCAGGATTTCCATTATCTGATTGTGTGGATAATGACACTCAAGTAGGATATAACATTTGTAATTTCTAAAACTCCTCCTGCTCACTACTATAAAGTCGGGAATTTTAATTAAGTAGTTTATTTTAGTAAGCTTGTTCTCTCAAAACAAATGTGCTTTCTACTCTTGAGCACTTCTTATCTTCTGTATAATCAAGGTTTCCTGTAAAAGGTGGCTGTTCCTTCCAAGGTTTTGTAGTCTCTCTGATCACTTCAGGGGGCAGCTATTTGTCCTAGTTCCTTAAATGAGTTCCTAACTACCTCTTCCGAGAACTAGAATCCCTTGAATTTGTCCTCTCATGGGGCTCAAATTGACATGAGATTTGTTCCTCAGGTTTCTTTATTCAGGACAGATGGTAGGTAGCAAGCAGTTAATTGTATATCTGTGAACAGCACTGACCTGAGCAGCATTCAGTGGGATCCTGTACTCCAGCAGCAATGCAAAGAGTGCAAATGCCAGCTCTCCTGTACATATATTCAATCAATTCCATGTAATATATGTATTTCTGAATGGTTATCTAGTTTCATATGCTTTCTCATACTCGATACTTAGAGTAAGCTTGCCCACAGTACTAATGGTTAGTTAATCGTAAATCTAATCAGTTTTCCGTATCTGTCTATCTTTGGATATTTCCATTCCCGATTGTCGTTCCACAATAATGCAGGTGTCTTATGGAGCCTTTTACCTTGTTTTCTGAAATGCAGACAGTGCCAATTGGTAACCTCTGAAGCACTGTCTCCCTCATCTCTGGTTTGGTCACACAACTGCTATAATTGGGCTTTGTATTTTTCATGTTTTTGCAGTGTCCTTTTGGCCTAGGGGGTATTTTTCACATAGCACCTTGACATTAACTTTGGATCATTGTTTTCTGATTCACCTTATTTTCTGTTCATCAGTGGTACAATGTCACAAGGGAATTGGCCAGATATCAACCAAGGAAGGGAGCACCTCTGTTCTTGTGGAGCAAATTTTGATTGCAAATGGTTCAATGACACATGCTGATAGTTGCTAATTTTATTCATTGCAGGATTCAGACACACAATTACTGTAGTATGTGAGGCAAGTCCATCATAAACTTTTATGTGTGGTTTGCTTTTAAAAATCATAGAATGGCCTGGGTTGGAAGGGATTTTAAAGATCACCTACTTCCAAACCCCCTTCCCCTAGACCAGTTTGCTTGAAGAGCCATTCGGCCTGGCCTTGAACACTTCCAGGGATGGGGCATCCACAGCTTCCCTGGCCAACCGGTTCCAGTGCTGCACCACCCTCACAATAAAGAATTTCTTTCTAATATCCAATCTGAACTTACTCTCTTTCAGTTCGAAAACATTCACTCTTGTTCTGTCACTACATGCTCTTGTAAATAGTCTCTTTCCATCTTTCTTGTAGGCTCCCCTTAGGTACTGGAAGGCCACAATTAGGTCACCCCAAAGCCACCTCTTTTTCAGGCTGAACAATTCCAATTCTCTCAGCCTTCCCTTGTAAGAAAGGTGTTCCATTCCTCTAATCAACTTGGTGGGTCTTCTCTGGACTAGATCCAATAGATCAATGTCCTTCCTGTGCTGGGGACCCCAGAGCTGGATGCAGTGCTCCAGGTGGGGTCTCACTAGGGTGGAGGAGAGGGTCAGAATCATTTCGCTTGTCTTTCTGCCCAAGCTGGTTTTGATGCAGAATCTGATTATGTTTATACAGTCCAACAGATGATTCAGCATTCGTTCCAGCTAGACCATGCACTTGACAGCTTTTGTAATCTTGTTTGTTTCTGCTAGAGGCTGCACATTCTTTGTGGTTTGTCACTGAGGACTTCATAGGATGGATGGATGGATGGATGGATGGATGGATGGATGGATGGATGGATGGATGGATGGATGGAGCGGGGTGGGGAAGAATGTAGGTGAAAGTGGATTGTTAATAGTGTAAGAGCAGTCTATTTCAACCCTGAATTTATCAAAGTCTATGTCTAGGTTTTTCAGGTATTAATTTATATCTTTCAAAGTGAAAGTATGTCCTTCAAGAGCATAAGTAATTTCTGCAATTTCCTGAAAAAAACCTTTCCAAATCTGTGGCAAATAGGGATGTACTTCCAGAACACCATAGACTGCTTTGAAAACAGTGTTTTCTTTATTCTACAGTGAATTAATGTGAGCACCCAAATTCCAAGTAGTTAGAAATAATAACTTTTTAAGCATTACTGAATAGCTACAATTTTTACCACACAGGTAAATGAAGAATCTAAGGTCTTCCAACAATAAGTCAGTCAGTCAATGCTGCTGGGACTGTTCTTGTCTTTGAAAATAAACTGCTAGGAAAAAAAATTCAGTAAGGCACCTGAGCTAGAGATTACAACCAAAATATCATAATCAGTTTTTCGCTTCTTTCTCATACTTTACTAAAGAGGGAGGCTATTCTAATTATTGTAATTGCGCCATTTAAGTAGAGCAGATAGAAGAGATTTAAGTGTTTAAAAGTAGATGCTTTCCTTTGGAGGTTGTTTTAAAGTGTTGTACTGTGCTGAACACAATATTCCGACGGAAACGTTTGTCTGCCTAATTAGCTAACCCTATTAAGAAGTAAAATTGGCAATAGACCTTGTAAGATTTTCCACTTAAGAAAAATCCAATGCTTCTGTATTTTTATCATGGTTTTGTTATTAATCTGTTCCCTCCTCATAGTAATAGAAAAATATTTTGCATAATTGTAATGATAATTTTTTAATAGAGTTTATATTAGGGCAACTCCCAGCTAAAAGAGAATCATATTCGTAAAATATGGAGCCAGCAATGGGTAAAAGCGCAGCACATTTGTAATTATGTTGGGAGTGCCCATCCTGGTCTTCAAAATACACTATTTAACAAGCCTCTTGCACCATCCTCTATTTTTTCTTTAGCATTGGGTGGAAAAACTGTTTTCTCTCTCCCATATTTACTGTCTGTTTTTCAAAGAAATCAATAACTGTTGTAAACAAAAGCATGGTGATCTTGGTGCTTTTCTTCTATTTTCTGTCTTTCTACCTCCTACACCTTCCTATGGTGTCCTTTTCTTTTTATCCAAACAAACCACAATTGACTGGTCTCAATTCCCAGCAGGTCTTTCAAGCTGCAGTCAGTATTTGGAAATAATGGTTCACCCAATACTGGTTCTCAGTATTTG